GATGTGCAGAGTCCGTTGGGTTTTGTCAGCATCTTCCTAATGGAAAAGACAATTTTGGGAAAAAAAGATCCTTGCTGCCCCACCTACTAACCCCATGGTAGTGACCTCCATGGAGCAGCCAGTGGGCATCTGCCTGCCTGGAGAGTGAAGTCTGTGTTTCACACAGGATTTTGCTGCTTTGCTTACGTGCAGCAAGACATGATTTCTCCTCCTCTCTTGTGGTAGAAACCATCGCTCCCATTAGCCCCATGACAGCTACCACTAGTGCTGCCTTTTGCATTCAGCTATTATCACAGAATCATAGAACAGTTAGGGTTGGAAAGGACCTTAAGATCATCCAGCTCCAACCCCCCTGCCATGGGCAGGGACACCTCACACTAAACCATCTCACCCAAGGCCTCGTCCAACCTGGCCTTGAACACTGCCAGGGATGGAGCATTCACAACCTCCCTGGGCAACCCATTCCAGTGCCTCACCACCCTCACAGGAAAGAATTTCCTCCTTAGATCCAATCTAAACTTCCCCTGTTTAAGTTTGAACCCATTACCCCTTGTCCTGTCACTACAGTCCCTAATGAAGAGTTTTTCTGGTTGATGCTATCACACAGTTAAATAACTAATTTATTAAATGGAAGGTACAACTTCTGTTTCCTGTCTTTAAAATGATGAGGAGAGGGTTTCCCCACACACCATAGCACGGACCAGTTGTCACGGTGGTTCTCCAGGACTTCCCAGAGCAAGCGATGCTTTATTATTCTAAGGAAAGAGAAGGCACTGCAATAGGTCCTGCTATTTACTTGTTGCTAAAAAAAAGGTTGGGAAGGGGAGGTGTGGAGGAATCTGCTTCAAATCCAGCTGGTACCAGCTCAGCCCTTCAGGAAAGCATGACACTTCATTTCTCTTGTGTTTCTTTGACCCAGTTAGCATTGCAGAAACGTTCCTGCTCACAGGACTGTCTAATCCTCTCTTGAATCCTGCTAAATTTTATCCCGTTGACATCCTGCAGCAATTAATTGCGGGAGATGACCCTGCACAGCAAGAAGGCCTCACGCCTTCTCTCTGAATCATCTACTTTTCGTTTTCTGTCCTCGTACCCTTGTTCCAGCAACCAGGTCTGAGCAGAGGCAGCACACGTGTCACCCTGTAGAAGTGATGCTGCAGATGTTTCAGGGAGCGCTGCAGCACGTGCAGCTCGTCCTTACCTGCTCTTCCTGGTCAGGACCAGTAATATCTGCAACAATATCTGTACTACCAACTTGCTGCTGACTACAAAGCCACTCAGCCACGTGTCCTTAAATTCCAGGTCCTGCTCAGGACCTGGATGTTTCTGGATTCAAAACTGGACATCATCGAGCCTGTGCTTTTATTTGCTTCCCCTAAAGCAATATTGGTCACTAATAGCGATGTCTCTGCTGGAACCATGCGCAGGTTCCTCTGCTCGTCATGCAAATTATTCTTGATCCGACACATCCACCTCATCTCACTAATGATGGTTCATAGGCTCACAAGTCAGGGATGGATGCTCTCCATGCATTCATACAGCACCCAGCTGGACAGGACCTGCTGGGTAGTTGGCATTGCTGACCCAGGAAGGGCAGCTGTGAGCAAACATCACCATGTTTTCTAGTTTGATGCTTCTATAGCATGAGCTGAGGGGGAACGTGGAGAGCATCTCAAGCAAAGCTGTTGTTTCTTGTGCAATTGCTTTGGAGCCTGGGATGCGGCATCTCCCTTTCCTGAAGCTGAGCCACGAGCCTGTTTAGTTTCCCCCCTCAGTGCCCCACTGAGTGACTTGGGAAGACAAAAATCTGCAGCCCAGCACCTCTGGTATAAACCAGAGGCCATTTTCAATCCTACACGCTTGTGCCCAAGGGGACAATAGCAAAACGTTCTGCTAAGCTCAGCAGACTTGTGGGTGTTTATGATTTATCATATTCCGCCATCAGATGAGATGTGGCAGCGTCCCCGCTGGCTGATTCTGCTTCCACCTTGCCTGACCATCCTGCCTTGCAGAACAGATGACAGAGGGGAAAAGCGACTGCGATGTGGGTGAAGAGCAGGCAGATCAAACCTTGTGGTCAGCACAGTTTGCTAAGCACACAGCAGGCTGATGGGCCTTCCGCTGGATTAACTTAAAAGCAAAGACAAGCAATGGTTGACAAAATGCAAATACACACAGATAAATACACTCATAATTTGATTTCCCTCATCAGCTGCTACTAGAAATCTATGCTTTAAATGCAGCAGAAAATTATTCCCATTACAAGGCCATTCCGCAGCCCTTACAGGCTCCCTTTGATTTCAAATGGCATTTGGTCAAACATTATGTAGCAACTAGACGGCATTCCAAAAACGCTCAGTTTGTCTTCAGCTCTTCACAACAGTCCTTGGAAGTGTTGCCTCCAGGAGCATTAATTCCAGGAAGGCTGCAATTGCCAGGAACATTGTATCTGTATTTACACAACATGCATTTTGCATCAGCCCGAGCTCATGCCAGGCAAATTAAATGAGACTTCCAGAACATGGGAAAAGGCCACGAGCCCAAGATGTGGCTCTTCAGAGGTCATCACTGCTGTCAACTGTGGCCCACTTGAGTGATGCCAGCCACAAAACCACGTGTGGGCTCTGGTGAGCAGGGCACAGAGCTGTGCTTCGGTGATCTGACTCTTCAAACACAAGCAGAGAAGCTTTCAGCCATCGTTGCAGGTCTCTCTTCTGCCCAGGGTAACAGCTGCAAATGCAGAACGCTTTGCCATTAATCGTGCTGCTAATGGCACAGGCAAGGTTTTCCTTCAAAGCGAAGGGATTCCTGCTTAGTCACTAAATGCAGTTTAACTTCAGGTGCACCATTTATCATTATTCTCCACTTAGGAAAGCTCAAAGTTAATTAAAATATGCCCTCAACAAGCAATTAGGCCCAATTGCAGACACTTCAGGGCACGGGGAAAGCCTGATGCACTACCCACAAAGCCCCAGCTTTAAGCAGTGGGATGCTGTGTTCTGCCTCAGGCTTGGGTCTGATCCCCTGAAATTAAGCCCCATGTTTTCTCTTGTAGCTTTAAGATTTCTTAAAACAGAAATAGCTGCTTTTATCCTCACTTCGGCGTTAAAGACCGTTCTAGAAACCACTTTTGCTAACCCCAGTCACACACCTCCTGCATCTACCTGTTTGTGTGCAGCCCTTAAATCTGCTCCAGCTCGTCTCAGGTCCTTATAATCCCTTGCTGGGAGACAGGTTGGTGCCTTATCCCTGTCTGTAATCACATTGCACTGGCCCATATTTTAGCTTCTGATGGACCTGTGTCTTCCTGGGTGTCTGTGTTGGTATGGAAAAGCTTCTCCCGGGTGGATAGGGGTCTCTGTGGGAGGTTTTGAGCTGATTCTGCACTGCACAGGTCTAATCACCAAATCCCATTAGCGAGGCTCATGGAGCTGCTGCTTCCTCGCCTTTGGTTTGAGCTGATCAATACCTTTGTCATTTAAAAGACAAGCATAGGAGGAAAGAGCAGGGCAGCTTTGTTTCTGCCTCACCAGCCCTGGTTTGTAAATCCTGGTCATGGTTTTCTGTCTCCAAATGCATTTAACGTTTGCAGTAGGAAGAGGCCCCATGATCATGGAAGCAAAACCGCACGTTAGCCCAAAGAGTGCTTGCGAGCTGGTTGTGAAGGCTGAGACTGAAAGCTGCCGGTGGGATCTGGATACCAATTCCCCATTCAAATTAATCCAAATCCCTTTGGCAGTTGTGATATCTCCATAAATGAGATTTTGCTGCCAGTGACTTCAAATGCAGAGCCTGCCATGGAGCTGGCCATGGATGCAGCGCAGCTTCTATCTCACTGTGACCTAAATTCCTAGGTAAGGTTTTCCTTCTTTTCTGGAACAGGCTGCAACTTCTGCAGGTTTATCATGAGTGTCAATTCTTCATCTGCTGTTTTGTGTAGAGGACAAAAGGGAGAGCATTCCCAATAGCCCCAGATGTATGTCCATGGGCAGTATGGTCACCAAAGGGAAGAACTGGGAGAAAAGTGCTAGATAACTACGTGCTGCATCACCTCATCAGACAGCATTTGATTTATCTTCCTCTGGTAACACTGCATGCTCGCTGTCAGCAGCCTGGGGAGTGCTCAGTGTTACAGCAGCCAATGCTGGCTGCTATAATGCACCCAATGCTGTGGGGTGAAGGGGCTGCCCCACACCCCAGTTCCTCACCAAACCAGCCCAAAACTTATCCAGGGACCTGTTGTGATTTCATGGGGGCCAACGTGCTCATCTCCAGCAGAGATGGTGAAGAAAGTGAGGGCTGTGCTTTCCAAACCAGGATTTATCTGAACCTGGTAGAAACAACCCTCCTTATCTGCTGTTTCTGTGCTATGTAAACCAGGTTTCTCTTTCTCACCTCAGTCACAGCCTTTACTGCACAGCTTGAATCCCCTCCATCTCAAGGCTCCCAGCCCACTGGCATCCCACTCCTGCTGCTGTCACCCCCATGACCCCCATTTCCCTGTGCTTCTGTTTGTCCCCATCTTTGCTGCATCCCAGCATCTTTGTTTGCTCCTCTTGCAAAACTCTCTAGTAGAACCTTGGTTTCCACTAAAGGAATAGTACACACCAGAAGAAGCCAGTTCACCCCAAAGCTTCATTCCTGAAAGCCTTTCTGCACCTAACACCAAACACCTAGTGCTCCATGTAGCTTTGCAAGGCTTTGAATGGCAGGGGGTGGAAGAGCCTGGGAGCTGGTTCTGTTGGTGACCTGGTGGGGTGAGAAGGCATTGGTGTGGCGAGCCACAAGCCCATGTGCTGTGGACCAGCCCTGCGCTGGAAATAATCACCCGTGTTCTACAGTGATGGAAACAGCAAGTGGATGTCATGATTTTATTTGTTTTCTCTGTGGAAAGCAGGGCACATGCAGCTCAAGGCACAGGACAAGGCGTTGGTGTCATAAATATTCACGTGGAGAGAAAGCAAAATGTCAGCAGGGCAATGAGGACAAGCATCACTTCGGAAGGAAAGGAAAGAGGAGGAGGAGGCAGAGCCGGCTGGCACCCCCCCAATCCAAATCTCTCCATCAGCTATAATAAATGCTGGAGCCACCTTCACTTTTGTTCTTGCTGTGTGGTTGGTTCAAAAACCAGGCTGAGAGGCAGTTCATGCTAATGAGTTTCAACAGGAGAAAAACTATTTGAGGTAAGAGATGTGAAAATGAAACCTCAAATATGCTCACCTTTTGATCCTGGGGCATATTTACCCTCCTGTTGGCACTGAGCAGAAGTTGCCTTCTGATTTAATCTGCCCGAGGGAGGTTTAGGAATTGTTTGTGAGCATTTTTATAATTGCAGCTTTCCAATGGTGTTTCCCATCTTGGCTGCTGCTGAGCAAACAGCCTGGTCCCTGTGCTCTTCTCTGTGCCAAAAGAGTTATTCCTAGTAGTAGTAGCAGTAGTAGTAATTAATCTAGTGTTGCTTTGCAGTTTTCTCACCTACTGCTCTTGGGTGACTACAGAGACTGTGGTACTAAACACAGGTACACAAGGATGCTCTGACTGCAGGAGAAAGCACCAATGAGAGACAGTTTGAACAGTGAAGCCCAGCAGCTAGGGATGACCTGACGCTCACCACAGCACACCTGATGCAGATGTGACAGTGCAGGGACCAGCGGGATACCTGTTTTACAGCTGGCATCACAGGTTGGTACAGCTCCAGGAGAGCTGCAGCACTGGCATGGCAATGCCCACCAATGCTCCTCGCTCAAGGGTACATCAAGGAGTAAAGATAATAGGGATGTGCCAGGGAAAGCAACAGGGATACCCCCACCCGGAGGAGCTGATATTCTTCATGCTGCCCTTTAGCAAATCCTCACAAAAGACTTTTAAAAGCTATTTCTTTATGCTACTGCACTAAGAGGTGACCTATCCAGTGGTATTCCAGTTGTTGACACAGTGATCTCTGAAGGGTCTCCTAGTAAATGTGTATGTCAGAGAGAGCGCATTTAGTACTGTCCAAGCGTTGGTCAAAATGTTCCTTTCAGAGTAACAGTACCCGAGTGTGAGCTACATCTGGCTGCCTGGCATTTGCTGGAAAACATCAGGAGTTTGATGTTCCTGAAAGTCACTTTTCCTCCAGAGCAAATGGGCTTTGGACTCTCTCCAGCTTTTCTTCATGCTCAGGGCAGTTCCAGGCAATAGGTGGGGGGAGATGCTCTATGGACTATTGCCTGTCCAAAATGAGAACTGATTGCTTGTTTCCTTAGCGGATGAGACTCTGAATCATCCCTTTGCCCACTACTGAGGGATACAATGGGTCACAAAGGTCTGCCTGACTTGCATGCACATTCAAGCCATGTTTTCTGTGTAAGAACTCCAGGGGACTGCTTCTAGAGCACAGGGTGGTTATATCTTGTGAATAAAAGTACTCCTAGCAGCTACCTCTTCACACTTCAGCAATGGCTGGGAGCAAACAAGCTTTTATCTTTGCTTCTTTCCAGATGCATCTGTGCTCTGAAATCCAGTTGTGAATCATGGCTTTTTTAGGTACCTGGAAATATCTCTGCTTGCTGGGAATATCGCCCGCTTCGTTTTTGTGGTCACAGTGAGAAGTTTCTCTCCCTTCTTGCTCATCAGTGCCTGTTGTATTGAACAAGCAGCTTCTGCCTGAGCAGCGCAAGGCTGGGTTTCCAACCAGCTTCCCTCTGGCTGAAGATGGAGATAGCTCTTCACCACTGACGAACATGGGGCCGTTTTCTTTCTGACTGTGGTTACTCCCTAAAACTGTTCCCTCATCTCTTCTGAGATACTTCATCTCTGAGCAGACTGCTTCTTTCTGCACTGGTCTTGGGGAGGGAAGCCTTGGAAAACTGAACACTCGTGGAAAAGTGGGTTTCCCTGTGGCTTTTCCTTTCATGGCTGGAGGATGAAGTTCACTGTTCAGGCAGGAAGAGTTGCACTGTGCGTATTCAGTGCTGGAGCTTTTGCTGTACAAAGAAGCCTTGGAGGAGCAGAGCTTTCCTGCATGGGTGTAGATCTGAGCCAGGGGGTCCTCTCTGGACCAGAGCTCGGTTTCTGCAGGATCAACCTTTCCCAGCGGCACCACGTTTGAGATGAAATTGGTTAATTTACATTTTGACATTTCCTGCTGTATCCCCCCAGGGGATGGAGACCATGAAATGTCTTCAATGGTCTTCAGGGTCCTCCTGTCCTGGCCCTTGTGGCTGCTTTCAGGAAGGCCCAGGAATGTGGGTCTGGCGAGGTGGCAAATGGACTGGATGTAATCGTCACTGGAGTACGAGTCCGGGCTGGCTGCAGCGCTTCCAGTGCACTTCGGGTTGGTGCTTGAGTCTTCCATCGCCTCCTCGTGGGTTTCACGTATGGTTGGGAGAGGCTTTGAAAGGCTTAATCTTACCCGGGGTGCCATGGCTGCAAAGAACAAACCAGACATGGTCAGCGTCAAAGGCAGCTGCCCTAAAGGAATTCTGGGCTTGCTGCTTTGAAGTCCATGCTCCCTGAGACACCTGATGTTTTCTTGTGGCAAACGGTGGTGTTTACAGAAACTGCACTTGAAAAGCCTGATGGGAAAGTATTCTTATATCCCTGGCTTCATAAAGAGCCCATGGGTACCAAAGAAGCCAAGTGATTACGTGCAGTAGGAAATGAAAGGAACTTTAAATGAGATCAGAAATGATGCTCCCTTCTGAAGCAACACAAGGGCTCAGCAGCTGAAGCAGCATGGTGCAGGTGCACCAGCTCACCTCACCGTCCGTGTTGTAGCAGTGAGGGACAAACTCCTCTCCTTATTTAATACTCCACTGGTCTGCTCACTCTACAAGGGCTCTGCGTTCACGGTGTGTCCTAACAGGCTAGGGCTGATCTCAACAGGGATGTAATTCATGTCTTCTCTATTCAAATGGTTATCCTCAACCCTTTTAAGGATGGATTCCCATCCAGCTGCTCCCACTAGCCAGGTAAACCTGTCCTTTACAAGTATTTCATGTTGCAGCATTTGCTAACTGTACTGGTGAGTTTTTTGTCTCTCAAAACACTCTCCCTGTGCTTTGCTTTATCCCTTTCTGGCAGAAATGACCACATAGCCTGGATCCATTTTATTTGATTTTTTACTATCCCCCCCCCCCCCCCTCCCCCCAGTGGAATTTATATGTGAATAACCTGCCAGCACAATATAGCTTTGCTGTGTGATTAACAACAAAAGTGCTTTGCTAGTTATTTTAACACTGCTTGTCATTGCTGGAAATAAATTAGGCTTTGTTGAACCTCCCTGTGAGCCGTGGATCACATATGGAGCTCAGCTCCTGCTGAGCCCGGGGTGGAGCTAATGGGTTATCCATCCCCACCCTGAGCTGCTGCTGGCTTTTACTGGTTTCCATCTCAGGTACTCCCGATAAAGTCAGACTGGGAGTAGGAGATGCTTCCTGTAAATGTTATGGCCTGTTTATTCCCTTTCTTTATGCTGTCTGCTCCTTCCTTCTCATTTCTTTAAGCATTAAGAAAGCGACTTGCTCCTTTGCCTTTCATCTCACCCCTTGCCCCAGCTCAGCAGCATCAGCATCTGGGCCTGCTCTGACCCCAGCACTGAGGAGGGCAGCCGGATGCCCCAGCTAATGGGCACACATGTGTCACGTTAACTTACGATAGCACTAATCATTAACAGAGTCCTGTTAACGTGCCCTTTCTCCGGAAGGAAATTAAATTACCTATTCACAGCAAAACTGTTCCGCTGGGGTGGATCAGTTCCAGCCCGGATACGATCCCTTCGCCCTGGGCACTGCACCAGCATCCAAGCCAAGGTCCCCTTCCATCAGCACTCAGCAGTCCCCAGAGAGCACAGCCCCTGCCCTGCAGCTTCCCCTCCATCCACACCGCAGCATCCGCAGCTGCAGTCCCCGGGGTCCTCCCCAGCAACACCCAGGACACAGCCCAGATCCAGACCCAGCTCCTGCAGCACCCAGCCCTTACCTGCCCTGCTGTTGGTGCGGAGAGGTGGGCGGCTTTCCTCTCCCCTGGCTCCCACGTCTCTCCCCCGCTGTGTCCCTCCCTGTTTTCAGTACAGAGTATGTGCTGTCTACAACTAACCCATGCATCAGGCTCCCTGCCTCCAGTCAGCTGATTCTGCTGCCTGTTTTGTTGCTGTAGCTAAATATAGCCCTCTGGCTGCCTGCCTGCCCTGACAGGAGCCTGCATCTCACAAACGCCACGTGCCGCTGGGACAGCAAACGGGCACCAGGGAGGCACAGCCAGCCCGACCCAGCAGGATGCTCCACGACAAATCCCTGCCGGCCGACTGCCTTGTTCTGTTTTCCCGTGTGAAATGCGAGCGTGGTGCCGCAGGAGGGGCTGCTCTGGTTTGTACCGTTGTATTTCATTGCTGAAAGGGGGAGTCCCAAGATTTCAGGCTGCTTTTGCGCCTTCTCTGCTTGTATTTCATGAGCAAATTCATGCCACTGTGCCAGGTTGATCCAAGGCGGGGCGCCTGCAGCATCCTTGTCACTGCTCTCCTCCCTCTCAGTTCCGTGCTTAGCTGTGTACTCACTGCAGAGGTACAGCACAGCCAGCCCTGCCACTGCACTGACAGCTTTATCCCTCCCCAGCCCGCACAGCATCACCCTTTTGTCCTCTGCTGAGCTGGCAAAGACCAACCACACACTTGCCAGGAGGACTGGCAGCATCCAGGTCTGTGGGCAGCAAGGATGTGTCTTTGTTTCATGGCTTATTGACATGCTGCAACCTGATTGCAATTCTAGTGCAATTCTGGTGTCCCTCGCACTTCCAGTGTCCCTCTCTTGCAGCATCACATTGGGTGGGGAGGTGAATAGTTATTCTGCAGCAGAACCTTCCTTCTGCTTTTATTTCCCAATAGTCCTCAGAGGGAGCTTTAATAGACACTGTTCACTACTGGGGAATAGCCCCACTGCACAACACCCCTGTGTGAGCAAGCAGTGTGTGACTGTGTTTCTGCACCTTGCTGCTCCCCAAACAACCTGCCCTGAACTGCTGGCAGAGATGAGACTAAAGTAAACCCCTAGATTAAAGATGACTGCTTTAGTTTTAATGCAAATATTCTCAGCATTGGGCTGGAATTGGCTTTGTTGATTTCATCCCCCAAGTCCATGCTCATCATCCAGGGTCTGTCTTTATCTCCGGTGGCAAAAAATAAGCAGCTCAAAAGACTTATGCATCCCTTCAGGAGGATATGGTTCAAAGCAGAGATTGTTTGCTCTCTGAAATAGACATTGTTTAGTACTTAAATATAAAAGGTGTGCAAACTTACACTGTTTGTCTGGATTTCTGATGCCAAACAGCTGAAGTTGGCTGAAATGACCCTTAAACTTCATGCACTGAATGTGCAATGACCAGCTGGGATCATGCTGTAGTAACAACTTACAGCTTCTATTTTTTCTTGCTTGCAGGCACCATAATGACCATCAAATCAAAAACCAAAACCTCAGACCCCAGCTACTCTCAGCAGCTGCAGAATAAAGCTTGGGAAAGCCATTTCATGAGGAAAATCACTGATCTGGAAAAAATCCCATCCCCATCTGCAGATGTGCACAGATACATTCTCTTCATAGCATGCTTCAGGATCATTCCCTTCCCTGGAAAATCCCTCCTCCCAGCTGGAGATGTCTCCTTCTCAAAGGCCACATGATCTGATGGAGCAAGTAGAAATGGGGCTGTGCAAGGTGCCAGGCTGGCCATGGCCAACCCTCACCCTGCCCTGAGAGCAGCCGAGTTAGGCTCAGTGTTGGGTTATCAGGTGTTTGACAGCGTCAAGGCTCATCCTGGTGCTTTGCCATATCTCTTTGGCGGTGGCCATATCATGGCTTTGGTGGTGCCTAGGGGACATGGCGGCCTCCCCTAGGAGGATGGGGCAGCAGAGACACACACCCTGCAATGAGAAGTTACCCAAAAGCCTCTAAAGTGAGCGAAGTCCTCACTAAATGTGATTAGGTAAGGTGTTTCTTTAGGAAACCACACTAAAAGTATGGATTTGCAATACAAGTCCCTTAGATCTGTTGAAATCAGTTTCTTCCCAGTGTTTTGCATTACTTTAGGAAAATCACATTTATTAGAATCACTGTTATTGGAATTAACCCCATTATAAGTGATTTGTTCTCTATCATTGTTTTTACATTCTTGGTGATACAAAAATTACACTGTAAATTTCCAAACACCAGGTGCAGTGTAATCAGTAGCTATCATTTACCAAATACCATTTACAGCAATACCTCTGCTTTCTTTACCTCAACCCCAGCCGTTCGGTTTCCTCCTCTATCAAGTGGTTGCTCAAAACCTGGGAATTAGGAAAACCAGAAGAAGCACCTTTGAACCCTTGTGTGTCACTTTGCAAGGTTTTTCCCAAGCACTTCTGAGGGCAGCTCTGGTTAAACCATCCCAGTCTCCTGTATTTATACTCCCCTAGGAGAGAACGGTGGTTCAGCATTCCTGAGTGCATGAAAACAGTAACCAAATGGGATTAGTAACCAAATGGGATTAAAAACCAAATGGGAAAGAAAACAGCAACAGCAGTGCTGAGGCAAACAGGAGGTATTAGTTCTGCAAGGCTTGGCTGAGTGATTGACACCTTCGTGCTACGGAGTGACTTTTTTGTTTGGTTGTTTATCCATTAGCTCTATATTTTGAATGCTTCCAGTTTTGGGGAAGGTTTTGTATTCCAGCGGCTTAGCAGAGTTGCACAAGTGTAACAGGCTGCTCTCCTTTGGGCATTTCTGAAGCTTGTTGATGTTTGGACAAACAAACCCATTAATCTTTGGGAGCATTAAATGGATACCACAGTCAATTCCCATTTTGGGTTTTCTCAGGAAAAATGCTCTTAATGCCAAGCAGGGGCTTTGGGCCGGCTCCAGCACTGCTGGCTAAAGGCAGTGTCCCCTCAGTGGGGCACCAGCAGTGCCAAGGCTGCTCCATGACTAACTTTGGCTTTGGAATATTGCAAGAAATATTTCTTTTTTTGGGGGAAAAATATCACATTATGCTTTCCAAAGTGAAAAATCCACACAGAAAAGGTAGAAGAGGAAAAGCTCCTCCCGTCTGGATTGGCTCACGGATATCCATATGGATGCGAGGAGCTGGGCAGCGTGTTGAGCTCCCTGGCTGGATTCGGGCCGGACCTGGTGGCACCGATGTGATAGCTCAGTGATGCCACATGGCTGCTCTGCTCCTGCCTGTGATGCCCCAGCTGAGCCTGGGCTTTGGCACTGGCAGCACTGCCCTGGGCTGCAGCAATCCCAGTTTGAAAGAAATCCCAGTTTTCCAGCTCCTCACTGGGAGGCTGTGCTGGGAGGCACTGAGCTGAAGGTGCATTGCCTTTACTTTCTGATCACAAGGTCTCCAAGGGACATTCAGGGTCCCAGATTCAAGCTTTCCCAGTAACCACTAGAACTGTAAATTCACTTTTTTTTCTTATTATTAAGCCTTTTTCACCCTGATGAACATCTCTTTGCCTCTGCTCGCTTCTGCCCTCTCTTCCTCCTGGGGCACCTGCAGCACCCAAAAGGACTAGCATCACAAAGAGACTGCCATCAGCCAGCACACACCCTCCTGCCTTGGAAAGGAGGCTCTTTGGTAAACCAGCAAATACTGTGACTGGTTCATGGTTGGGCGATGCTGCCACTCTGGTTCCTGCACTGGAGCTGGTATGTAAAACCATGTCAGAGTGTGAGGAAGGGAGCAGAGTGAGTGCCAGGGGACAGGGTCAGCATGACCCTGGGCATCGCCAAGCCTCGGTGCAGCCAGCTGCTTCCCTCCTGCATGTTTGTTGTTAAAAGGCCAGGAAAGGAAAACAGTTTGACCTGATTTGAGCCAGATTCCACATGATTTGTGCTCCCTAATTATACCCCTCATCCCATTAACCTCCTGTGCATTACAGCGAGCAGCTGCCACGGTACACGGTGAGGATATTCCCGTGAAACATTAATGAGCTGGTTTTGTATTAACCAGACAGAGCTGGGTTAGAAATGTGGCACCCAGAGCTGTTGCCTTGACTGCAGCTCACGCAGTAACCGGTGGCAGCTCCTTGTACAGACACTGCCACTGCTGCACACAGATGTTCTGGAAATTACCAGGTATTTCTTGTCTCTTGCAAGGAGGAACCGGTTGCTGCGAGGGCTGAGCTGCTGCAGCCCATCACAAGGGTTGTTTGCTGAGCTCTCCATCCAGCTGGGAACACAGGTGGAGCCCTTTCAGGAGGCTTTAAGAAGGCTCACAGTGGGTTAGGCACTCATTTTCCTTAGGATTTCAATTAAGCTTGGAAAATGACTCCAGGGAGTCTTTGCTGCTTCCTAAGTGATGCTGGTGCAATGGGTTCATCTGCCTGGCTCCCACTGGTGCTGGCTGCCCACAGCTCAGTGCTGGTACAGGCTGGTTTTAAAGTAATTGGAGGCCTCACAAAGTGCAAACCGCGGTGGCTGCTGGCTGGAGCTCCCCAGGGAATCCAAGGTATTTACTTGAAATAACACAAATATTTTTCATTTGTATTATTACTGGCCTGCAAAGGTTGCATTGTGCATTTGTGCACTTGCCTTTTCACTGAATCATAGAATCCCAGACCGGTTTGGGTTGGAAGGGACCTTAAAGCTCATCCAGCTCCAACCCCTGTCACGGGCAGGGACACCTTCCACTAGAGCAGCTTGCTCCAAGCCCCTGTGTCCAACCTGGTCTTGAACACTGCCAGGGATGGGGCAGCCACAGCTTCTCTGGGCACCCTGTGCCAGCGCCTCAGCACCCTCACAGGGAGGAGCTTCTTCATAAAATCTAATGTCAATCTACTCGCTTTCAGCTTAAAACCATTCCCTCATGTCCCTTGTCACTGCACGCCCCTGTTAAAGGGGCATGGGGGTCTAAACATGCTGTGCTGCTGATCCACATCCCCTCATGCTGAAAACAAACCCTGATGGACTCTGTTTGCAGTACAAACGTGTTGTGCAGAAGAATGGGTGAGTGCTCAGCTTCCAGGAAACCCCTTTTGCTTCCCTTTGCTCTGAAGACCTCAGCTACACAGAAGTCCAGCTTCCATTTTTTTCAGGCCCTTTCAATACAGCTCTCAATTTTGGTTTAGAAGCAGTACCCATCATTCCTGCAGAGCCCCCAGCACAGCTTGGAAAGGACCCAAACCATTCCAGTAAACCTGCCATAAATGACTTGTTGCAGTGAGAGATTCTTTAATCAAAAACAGCACCAGGAACATCCAGTCACTTTACACCAGAAAACGGATCCTGTTTTGCTGAATTAATGATTTATTACAAATTGCTCAGCATTTGGCTGCTAGTCCAAGCTGGCAGCTCACCTGAAACAGGTTGG